GGTATTAGGACTGGATTGGTTATGGATGCGCAAAGCAAAAATAAGCTTTGAATATCCCTCCAAAACTTATACTCGTCGTGCTAGGATTGTAATAGATGATATAGGTATTCCATTAATCGAAGAAAATAACAATAACGCAGCCCCACTAAAAATAACTTATCTAAATCAACGGAATCTAAACCTGGTCTAGCCCAAGAGGAGGTTATGAATATAATCAACAAAATTCTCTCAGGTGCCCAAGATATTAAACACCAAAAGAGCCATCGCGGAATAGCGGAGCTAGTGTCAGTGGCAAAGCCACGAGTCTCCGACTCGAGACATATATTTCACAATACACCTCCCACACCTCCAACACCCAGAAGATTAAATGACAATGTTTCCAAAAATAGCGGAGCTGGTAAGATTAAGAACTATCCTAAAGTAGATTTAGGTGATGGGGGTGGAAATCTTTCAATCAAAACGCACCTCAATAATATTTGGAAGTCGGTTCATTCTATAGAAAATGATATAGAGATAGAATTTTTGAAAAACTTTGTGTTATTGAATATGAATTAAGTTGTATAAATAAAGCAAAGCAACCATGGATAAAATCTGAGACAGAGACTAATTCATCCAGCTTTGACTCAGAATCCACGGATTCAGACCGATATGATCTCGATCCGATCAAACCTCGAAAGAATCGTGTTCATATTAAAAAGAAAGAGGTCAGTATATCTGAAAACATCACAAAAATGAGCATACCAACTGTGTCTGCATTCCAGAGTAGTGATCTATCTAATCAACTATAATCACTGGCGCGAGTGGTAAATCTTTGAATCTTTTTTCAATATGGGCTAATACCTTTCTCGATAATATCTTTGATGGAGGTGCCTCTATCAATACTTTCTCAGCATCTTTTTCAGTACATATATATACCCACATTATATGTATTAATTTCCCGCCCTTGTAGTTATGACCGTGATGAAGCAAAAATCGATACTCATTCATTATCATCTTCTCCTGATCTGATATTAATTCCCGAAAAAGCTGTTTATCTTCATCTGTAATTGGAAGACGAATTTCTTCAGGACTGAAACCTATATACTTAGAAATCTGATCACGTAATTCGTAAGACATTTTCCGTTACTATGATACGTAATAAAAATATATTTAATTTATTTCACTATGTCGTTATAATGGAGCGATGTCATGTGCAAATCCGCATATATAGCAGAATCTCTTTATTTTAAAAATTGCCGAACGGCAGTTACATTATGTGAATGAGTAGAGGCTCTATGCTCTTCATACTCATTTTTTATCTAATAATCTTAATAAACTAATATAATCTGCCGATGAATTAATATCAGTTATTGTTCTCTCAGATTCAGTTTTAATCGTTCTTGAATTACCTTGTATTGTTTCTATCTTGCCTATTTTGAAATAAAATTTAATTAGTCAAATATTGCCACCTCTGACGATTGTACAGTATAGCGGAGCTAGACTCGAAGAGACGTTACAAGGTAATAGTGTCTTTGACACATAAAGTTTACTTACGAGTTCGAGAAAAATCTACAGTCCCTGAATTAGATGATGAGTCATTGGGTTGAGTGAACTTAATAACGCTACTTTCACTGATCTTAGAAACAATATTTTTGTTGGCCTTGGGAACATTGCTTTCGTTGACCTTGGAAACATTACTTTCATTGGCCTTGGAGACGGAGTTATCATTAGAGCTACTCATTTTTTCTTCCTAAAATATAGAATAACGGTAAATATAAATACGTTTTACAATCTTAATTAAATAGCGATACATTAAATAGTGGTATACTTTGGAATTAACGATAGAAAATGTTATTGATACCCATGCTTACAAGAGAAAAAAACGAAGTATTTTATACCGTCCAGAACCATTAGCTCCATTAACGGGGTCAAATCTATTCCAAAAACCAAATACATTTTCATGACTTTTCGAGTCTGGACTCCACCCATTATTTTCTCGGTTAGCCCTCTATGTTTACCCCTAATAATAAACCCCATAGCTATGCTAGCACATGAGTGCTAATTTTGACGATCTCCTACAAGGTAATGATCGCGATGATCTGGAAAATGCTGAGTCATTGTGACATAGAACTTTGATAAAGCTACTAATGAGAATTGATAAGATCATTCCTCTTATAGTCTTTTTAAACTTCTTTATACTACAGGAAAAGTATTTGTACGTAGACCACACGAGCGGTGTCATGTGTTTTACATCTACAAATTGGTGATTGGCGTAGAAGTTCGTGAAACATGCGTAAATCTTTTTTCGTTACCATAGTTTGAGAAAACACCTATATTAAGTAAACATTCCACGATAAGAACCAGCAAAAACGAATCTCAAAAAGGTGATAAGGAGAAGCAGACCATCAATCTCCATTAGTGCGTATAACAAGGGACTTATATCTTGGGAAGTCGAAATCTCCGCAATCTCCGAGATCGTCGTATGTCCGCCAACTTTGTAACCTGCGTAATCTATATACTATAAAAAGCCACTGATCTGCTCACGAAAAAAATTTTCATTTTCTTGCATTATCTAGCTTCTGCATAAACAGATTCTTTACGCCATATACTGTTATAAAAAATGTCTTCGCACGATTCATCCATTTCTACATCCTCTACTTTGACGGAAGAAAGGTCAACTCGCACGATGGCGGACGTTGTGAAGAATCTAGATAAAGATCTTATCGATTATTTACAGAGGCGGGATCTAAAATTTAAGGAGTCCCATTTCAAGATCTTACGACAGAAGGAGATCGATGGACTTTCGTTTCTTGAGATGACTAAGGAAGATTTCCGTGAAAGATAGGGCCAGCTTTAAAACTTGTGAAATTTATCGATGAGATATCAGAACAAAAATTGAGAGGTTTCTCGACATATAAAACCTTGGAAGAATTGAAGGATGTACTCCGTAAATACAAAGTTAATGGGGAGGACATTATAAGTATAAAACAATTCAATCCGGGTATGTAATACTTAATTTAATTTGGGCGAACCAAGTTCGCTGAAATTTCTATTATGAAATAATGAGCTCTGCTCTGGCATTTTCCAATGTATAGTTTTCGAGGAAATCGATGACGACGATAAGGCGCTCGAGCAGTGCATGAGTGAAATAACATTGAGGCTTTCGAATTTGGAGACAATGTTAACTAGTGCTAACGAAGCCACACGTTGCGTATTCATTATATCGATATTAAATGCGTCGCTCGCCATTGTTCGGAGACTTACCAACGAAGAAGAACTCTACATATCATATCAAAAAGATGTTTCGGGGGAAGAGGCGTCAGGACGTGTCGACTATGCTATCAAAGGAAAGAGGATCTTATGTGTATAGCCGAGGGTAAGCCTCGTAACGTTGAAATCGGATATCTCCAGAATATTGTGCAACTAGAGAGCGCATATCACACAAATAAGAAGAAGCGTACGGCGGATCAAGCATTTCGAAACGATGATTACGACTACCTCTACGGAATAGTTTCTACAGGTATGATGTGTTTACAAATACTCTAGAATTCCCTATTTTGCTGGCTTCACCAATAGAAAAACGTTCTTTATATCTTAGCTACATAATGGCACTTTATTATGTTCACCACCAATGGTCTTTATTGTACCAGTAAAAGTAAATATCCGATCAATCTCTCGAAGACAGCTCTCAAAGAAGATCTCGAATCAATCCGAAAAAGAGTAAAACGAGTGCTAGGTTTTATTATTGGGTTATTAAAGGATCGGATAACGGTTGATAATTCCCCTGCCAGTAAGAGGGCCAGGATTAAAAAAATTACCAAAAAATAGTGGGTAGATAATTCCCCGTTTCACATGTATTTTATATTGTATTAATAAAGTGGCTATAAATTTACTTTTGAATATATCTGTATTTTATTTAAAAAATGGCAAACACGCAATCCAAAATTGACTTACTTGAAAAACAGATTTCCAAGCTTGTAGATGAGAATGATACACTTAGGCGGGAAAACACCGAGATTAAGTCTGAGAACATCGAACTTAAAGCTGAGAACGTAAAATTAAAACAAACTTTGGAAGAACATGAATAAAACTGGAACAAAGGGATAAAAATATTGCTGTTGAAAATGCCGAACTTAAAGCTAGAATCACAAAATTGGAACAGAAACAATCGCAAAATAGCGTGAGCTACCAGGGTAATGCTATAGACAGTAATGATTCTTCCGGTGTACCCGATCAAGACGATACCAGAGAAATCAGTCGATCATTGGTTAATACTACCTCTAGTGAAACTAATTCTGATAACCATATTGAATGGACAGAAAATAGTTCCGATCGAATTTCTGATGATCCTCCTGAAACAAATTTTAATGATTCTTCTGAACAAATACATTCCGGCATCTGGTATATCTGATATTACTTCAAATCCTGATAAATATCAGGAAGAGACGAAGTCGAGAGTCACTAATTCATCTCCGACTACAACTATATACACAAAGCTTAAATCGTCAAAAGAGAAGGAAGTAGACGATTTCTTTGATTTACTAGAAAAAGAAAGGATTAGTAATATAATGAGAGAGAGAAATAGGGAAAAGAAGTTTCAATGTGAATCACCTAGCCAGGAGGCACACTCGGTTTCCCAGAATACTGCATCTACGCCCCATGGGCGGAAAAACGAACAGGGCTTGATTCGAGAAATGATTTTATCCAAGGAAGAAATCACGTGACTGAAATTTCAGCGAACTTGGTTCGCCCAAATAATGAGACTTCAATAACCCCGTCTATTCTAGCCATGTCCCAGTTGTCACCAGATGATGGAGATATTATTAGTCTATATAAAAATGCATGTGATGCGGAAGTAGGTGCTATCAAAGCTAATCAAGAAGAAACATTACGTTGGTGTTTCTATGCTAGAAAATTCAAAAGCATGTATAAAGATTTTATGGTCAACAATAAAATCGGGAAAAGAAGGCAAAAGGTCAGGTATATGACTTTATTGTCGAACAGCTACCGGACACCAAACGCAAAACTTTATGTAAGCAGGCACAGAAAGCTTTAAGGATTGACAATTTATTCGAAGAAATAGGAATGGATAAGATTCAATACATCAAAACATATAGTGCGGATACTATTTCAAAATTTGCTAATTATCAGATTCAAACGATTATAGATCACTTCATCAAAAAGCCTGATATAGAATTCACCGATGAACAGAATAATTCTTCAGATGTTTATCCGAAACTGAGGTAAGTATACCTATTGAATCGATTCTTTTAGATTCACCCCAAGAAAACGATAAAGATTCAGAATTACTAGAAGTTGAAGTAAGTGCGTCAT